TTTGTTATAGATCCATTGAACAGCTTCTGATGCAAATATATTTATAGCTGAATATGTAATGTTCCATATTAGCTTCACTTCATTGTAATTAGCTGAGGCAATTAAAATTAACAAAAGTGTGTGTATGATTATTTAGTGTTATCTTCCTTGTGTTCATCTAACTGCTAGCTATAGTCTAAATAGTGACGTAAGCCATTAATAAATTCAAGGTCAAATTATATTACCTTTTTTAAAAATAAAAAGGAAATGAGCTAGAGGAATTGGAAATAACAGCAAGGCAAAGTTCACAGACCCTAACAGATTTACTAACCTTTATTCTTGAAGTGGATTAGTATTCATCATAGTGCTGTGAATGTTTCCTTAAATAATTTCGATGCCATTGCTTGTTCCTTAGAAGCACTTCATCAAGGTTCTGTGAAGTCAGTAAAGCATGGATAAATACAGACACTTATTAGAAATAAAGTAAAATTGCTGCTCCATTACACCCTAGGTAGATACCTTTAAGTTTTTGCTCAATTGTTTAAAGAACTTCCAGCATGCTCCTGAATATTTGGTTCAATAATTTTGTGCATCCTGAAGTAGAAAAACATGAAATGACAAAAAGCCCATTTAGGTGTCTCTTCACACTGAGAATATTTATTCTATTTCCATTTTAGCAAGATTCCTTTATCATAGGTGGCCCAATAAGAAAAAAAGCAGATAAAGAAAAGCCATAGTCTAAAGCACATGGTTGTCATATGTGAAGCAAAACCAAAACCATAGAACTTAATGTAAAATATTAAACATTAATAAATTCAGGGATTCGTTTCTTTTTTTCACAGGTGAATTGAATGTAAGGACCTCATCTGAATGAAGTTCTTTTTTCTAACTATCTATTTCTCTCTAGCTGGAGTAGTACCTCCTGAAGTTAATAAAAGTATTATCACCTGCAAATGCTAATATGTTAACCAAATTCAAACCATTGAATTATTTTACCATGCTTTTTGCATTTGCAAGTATGGTTAATACAAGTGTCCTTACTTTCTTGGCTATAATCAAAATTACAAAAAATATTTCCCCTTTGAATTTTTAGTAATAAGTAACTACAGAAATATTTTGCTATTGCTAGTCTTAGAGGTATTGGTAGCCACAGGAAAATATGAAAAAGCCCAAACCAGTTCCTCATTGCAATCCTCATTGCAATTTTCATAATTCAGATAGAAGTCAATATAATGTTGGCAATTTATTACTTGGTCTTGCTGGGAGGCATCGTTTTACCCTGGGGGAGCACATATCTTGGGAAACAGTTCTATTTAATTTGCAACCATAATCAAGTGATGTGATTTTATTTATGTATGAATTTTATTTACAAATGAATTTCAGCAGGATGTGGCTCACAACCTTGGATAATCACGCTGCAAGGGCTTACAACTATTCTTATGAGTAAAATGACTGGGATTTTCTATGGCATTCATCCACTGCTAAATAGCTCAAAACTTCCATTATTGTTGCCTGTCACTAGTTTCTGAAAAGGTTTTTTACTTTCACTTGGTTTGCAAACCTGAAAGAGACTCACAATTTTACTACACAATACAGTAGCTAGCAGTAATTAGTACTGTTGTTTTCTTTGGGCATTTTTTGCTTTTCTGTTAACACCATTTACTTTTCAGGAAAACACCCCAGTGGTTTTGAATCACAGGTAGCTTGACATCTCCCACGTGTGGGCAAAGAAGAAGACCCAAGATGTGCTGAGAGGATACTCATTCTGGAGGTTGTAGTAGAAGCTGAACCAAGTTGAGGATGCCTCCTTGGACTGCAAGCTGCTTGTACTTGTATGTGCTGTCAGAAGACAACCTCCAGAGCAATCCCAAGAGCTGTGCTCCCACGTGACAGTGCAAGGTAAAGTCCATGGGAAGAGGCTGGGCTGGGGTCCTCCTAACATTTAGCTAATTTTAGTTGTGACACAGGAGCATTATAGACAAAAGACCTGTTTGGCTGAACCAAGATCAGCTGTCCACTGCTGTGCTTTACTGCCTTTGAAAGAGAATCAGAACAGATGGAAGTTTCCATCTTTGATTAGCTAGGAGGGGATTTAGATTTCCTGTGATTTAATCCAATCACATATGCCTAGCAGAAGCAGAAAAGGTTTTTCCATGTAGTCTGTAAAATCATTCTGGAAGCGCAATACAACTTAAGAGTAAAGGGATAAGTGTCTGCAAGAGGGCACTGGAAGTTCAGCTTTAATTATAAAGCCTTAGTCATATTCCACTATTACATAAAGGCTCCTCCACACCTAAGAATTTCAAAAGTGGTGTTCAGAAATATCACCTGTGAGATACTAAGACATGTATTCAATAATTGCTACACTGAAAATATACAGTGTAATCAGGAAAGGGTTAAAGGCTCATTCAAATTGAAGAATTGTTCTTAATGGGTGCAAAACTCCATCTGCTTTCACAGTGTGAACGGGGAAAATTATGGTACTATCTATGCCATCCATTTCCTTCTCATCTGATGCATTATAATAGCATCTAAAGAAAGAACTAGCCACCACATGATTCTCTATATTATGCAAACTGAACTTTTCAAATCCTTGAAGAATGTCATTAGACGTTGTCAGTCTTGTATGTGGATCTTTACTGGTTTTGAAAGGTGAGACAGAACTGCAGATTGCAGGTTAGCTTCTTTCTCTCTCTCTCCCTTCCTCTATCCCTTCCTTTCCTTCTCTGCTCCCTTACCCTTATCATTTATTTTCTTCTTCCTTTTATTTCTTTGCAATAATATGCAGAGCTTTTCAAGACAACATAAAGGGACAATTATTCAGAGAAATTGTCTAGGAGAGCAGAAAATGCTTTTCCCATTTGTTATGCATTTAAGCAAGTGCTACAAGAAACAAAAGACTTTAACACTGTTTACTTCTGCTGAGCCAAATAGTCAGAACTATCAAATGCTTGTGGCTTAGTTATTCCAGGCTTACTTAACCTGGAATGCTTATGTTGTGTAGCTTTAGTACATATGTTTGCTTTGCTATCTACGCTCATGAAACGCACACGTGAAGATGGACATCATACAGCATGAATTACAATGTCCGGGGTGAAGAACAACTTAGTGATGCTCTGTGTACTGTAAAGGTTAAGCCTCTTAGCCTGTTGAATCACAGTGAACATTGTTTTAAATCCCACTTTTAATAGAAGGATTTTATTTTCTTTTTAAAGAAAAACACCTGGCCTGAAGGTCTGGCATCTGAATTTTAACATAGGCTTTTGAACTCTTTTTCATGATTATTTACCTAAAGGGCTATATTCAAAGAAAAATCTGACTGCCTGCTTAGTTCTGGAAATATTAAATTACTTTCCCAGATTGTTCAGATTGATTCCCAGTTTAGGGATCTCTGAATGTCACTGTGCTTATATATCTCTATGGGGTATGAGACTACAATCCAGCTACAGCAAGAGATTCTCACTCTCAGATTCCCAGGGTGACAGTCTCTCCCCATACCTTGGAGGGGGTCCCACTGTGAGAGGGCAAATGTGTGACTGTGGTCCCAGCTGCCAGCTCCAGAGCTTCCCCTCACATCTCACTGCCCATTCTGTGTGCTTAAAGCTGTCTTTTTGGGGCTCAGAGATTTTTCTCTGTAGGCTATACAGTCTGTCAGGAAGAGAAGGCATCTTACAGCCTGATACCATTGGTCTCTTTTATGATGTAAAAGCTGTGGGTTCAAATTATTCAGCATTTGAGGAAGGATGGTTTGGGTGCATCAGCTTGCTGGTTCTTCAGCCCTCTCATGGTACCTAGTTTTATCCCACTCTGTGAATTTTTAGAATTTAGGACAGCAATCTGAAATTTGCACCCAAGTTTCCACATTCGCCACAACTGAAGATGGCAGAATCTGAGGCCTTCCACCAAAAGACTAAATTAAATGCTTGGAAGTGACTCTTCCAGCCATCCATGTGGGTCTGCTCCAGTATCCTTGACCTAAAATGATTATTTCTGAATAAGAAACCAGGAACTGAGGAACTATTTTGCTTAGGTATATACATTGCTTTCTGATTTTCTAATTTCTAATGAAGCACCAAACAGTTTGAGACTGCAATGTATTTATTTTGTGTTTGTAGAGGAACCTACCAGACAGCAGAATTTTTACTATAACTGCCTTTTTAAAGCTAAAAGATCTTCTCCTTTTTAAATTATTTTAAAAGTGGACTTTTTTGATATGCAGCCTGTTTAAAATATCCTCAGCAGATACTCTTCACTGCCATGTATATCAGGTGTTGAGATATAACAATAAACAAGGTTTAAGAAATCTTGGGCACTTTTATTGACAAAAAGTTTGCTTCACAGACCACAGTTTTAGCTCTTTTTAATTTACCACTAATATATGTCAGACTGTACAGCATGTGGAAAATATTTGTTTTAAAATTAGTAGATTGGTATTGTAAAGGAAAGTTGGACAGAAATTGAACATCGTGCAAGTAAAATAACGTACATCAGCTTCCAAAAACAAAAGGCAAAAGTATTAAGGAATGACACTGACAAAAGTTCAGTGATTGTTAAAACCACAAATCATCAAATCAACTTTGCAGAGACAAAGAGGTAAGCTGATAACCAAAATTATTATTTATGACTAATAGCTGCAAAGCAGTCTGATATATATGCAGACCTGACCACTGGGAGATATCCTCAGCCCCAGGTGCTCTTGCCCCATCAAGGCAAGCAACATCCTGCTGTGGGCTATCAAGGGCAGGGCAAGAAAGGGGGCATGATTAGACTTCTGGATATCTAAGGGATCACCAGAAGCCTTCCAGTCCTGCCAGCAGCTGCACGTAACATGCAACTTCTTTTCACTGTTGCTTTTCATATGCAAAGTGGCTTGGCATCTAGACATAACTAAAAAGTTGTAAGATCCAGGGTATAAAGTGGGATTTTTTTCTTCACTCTTCCTGAGCTGCTGTGCTGTGTTGCTCCTCAGCCAGCCCTCAAGCTATTGGCTAGTCGATTTTAAACAAGCAAGACCCTTGCAGTAAACAAACACAGTCATTTCATTTTAAATGTTCATAGGGGGATTTACACTGCAGGACTGATCTGACTATCTGATCGCAACAATAGGAAATTCAAGAAGCTTTTTCCAGGGTTCACATGGTTTGTGGTTTCTGGTAAGCTAAATGTACATCTTCCAAAAGCAAAGTGAAAATATATTAAATATAACATGACCATAGAAAGGAGAACAAAGACCTGGCACATCTCTCTAATGAAGTGCATGGCAAAGGCTCCTTTTAATTCATCAGGAATGGACCACAAATAAATAGTAAGTCATAAATATTACTTATGTACTAATACAGTAGACTAATTAGACTCATCTGAGACAAAGAAAAACCACACCATTTTATATGGAAATTACGCACAAAGCAATTTACAAATAGTTTATGTCATTATATATTAATCAACTCTTAAAATAATTGTAGGTGCATTTCCACCATTTGTCATAATACAAATTCTGGTCAGAGCAAGGAATACAATAGCAAGATATGTAGAGTGTATTTCTGCTAGCAGTCAGCATAGTGCTCTGTGCCTCAGAGCCAAATCTACCTGTTGCATACCCAGAGTGCCACACTCTGAAATTCTCTTTTTCCTCCATTTCAATGTTCTCGGGTGAGAAAGTTTTAGCAATATTAATCCCTACATTGCAGCATTGTTAATTTTTACATAAAAGGTTCCCAAAAGTTTTAAAAATAAGTTAGCAATAATAACAAATAATTTCAAAGATTGTATCTGACCCATTCCTTTAACTTCTGGCTAAACAAGTTAAAAATCCTGGTGAGACCCTACACTCCCACTACTACAAACTTGTTTATTCACAACTGGCTTACTTACAGGATGCAATCTCCAAAGACCTCATGCTTGATCATTTAATTTTTGTCACTAATTTGGTACATTATGACAAAATGAAATACTGGTCACTGAAAGTCAGTTTATATATAATTCTGCATTTCATTTAGACAAATTATAAACACATGGCCCAACAGATGACTGACTTTCTTTACAAATCTCTCCCTTCTCTCTTTGCATATTTTTCACTGCATACACCAATGGTAGTGAAAACAGTTTTTAAAAGTGCATCCTTCATTAAAAAAATTGACTCTCTTCATACTTAACCATGCTTTCTGTCCTGAAAAAAAGTAATTTAGGGAAATTCTATGGTCTGAATTATGTGAGGGTTCAGACATGACGGGCTTTTTTGTCATATTATTTATGATTCTATGAATAAACCAAAAAGTAAATAAAATGAACAGCTGAAAATCATCTGGCACAAACTGAGCTTCAGCTCGTACTGAAAACTATCACTTAGTACAGTTGACAACTTCTGAAGAGTTCTCTTAAACAGTGCAAAATGTTTATTTTCTTCCATGAAGATGTGTAACTTGAAGAAGGAATACCAGTGTCAAAGCCTGATTTCATGGAGTAGTGCACTCATGGACCTCTGTAGACCTTGCCATATTCAAGGCTATGGTTATAACAGCCAATTCTGTATTGGGAACATTAATAAAACTCGGGAACAGTTCAGGAACAGTTAAATTTCCTTTGGCTGAAAAACAATTGCCACATGAATATAATACTGCAGAGCAGACCTGTGGAGACTGAAAATATCACATCCATTGGGACTGGTAAACATAAGGCCACAAAGAGGACTGTCTTCTCTTTTTCATGTTTCATTAAAAAAGAGAAAGACAGTTTTACAAACAGAAAAGAATCCATCCCAAATAAAAGGGACAATAATGAATCTATTAGCCTAAAATGAATATGTTTGTTTAAAGACAAAATATTTCACAACCAGGACAGTAAAGCGCTGGAGAACATTAGCCAGGGAAGTTGTGCAGTTTACATCTTGGAGAGTTTCGAGACGTGACTAGAAAAATCCCTAAACAACCTGGTCTGAATTCAGTGTTAACCTTCTTTGAGCAAGAGATTGGATGAGAGAGTCTCCACTTGAAATACTCTGTGATTCACTGTTTCTGCTGCTCTTGAATAATCTGGAAATTACTGACAGAATTAGAAGGTCATACCTGGGAACCTTAAAGTAAGAGCATTCTCTTAGCTCTTTGTGCTCTCTGTGCCTGCAGGCCTGGACAAGCCAGGAGCTCCTGCACTGCACATTCTTCTGGGAGAACACCACATAGTATAATCCAAGGTTTGTATCTTGGATTAGTTACTTGCATAAGCATTTCCCACTGGTACCTGACTTCATTTAGCCAAATGTTGCATATCTGTAATCATAATCATTGCTGCAGGGGATCAGTTATCATTATTTGTATTGTGGCAGCTCTTGATAGGGCTAGTGATGGCCATAGCCTTATTTTGCCACTGCATTAAAAAAAGTGGGGTTGCCATCCTAAAGAGATAGCAGCCTCAGTCAGGCTTAAAAGAGTGGTGGCATGCACAGACAGCAACTACTTACACAAAACCATCATCATTAAGAAAAAGTGCTTCTTTAATAATTCACTGCAGCTGAATCTGCAACTAGTAGCTAAAGGAAGCATACTACATATACAACAATACGCTGTATTCTGGCATTATAGAAGTCATGACTGACATCTCTAAATGTGCACTATCAAAAATAAATGTAAACTATGTAATCAAAAAACGAGCATTTTTTGGTTGTTTTTAGGAAAAATGGATAATTTACACTATCTATAAAAGACAGATTAAGGTTTACAACTATCATGCAGGTGTCCCAAGGCATGATCCAAGCTAAATACATGCAGCTTTCATTCAGACTACTAGCTACATGCTCTTTACAAATTATCACCGGTCTTCCCAACAGGTGATAGTCCTTTTGGTGAAAAACATGTAACAACCAAATAGAACATCATTATTTGAAGATATCTTTGAACTCCAGCTTCCATTCTGACTACATTGCACTGTTTTGTGTTTAGAACATTACAACATTAACACCATTTGGTAACCTTAAACTGCCACCTGTTCTATAGAGATCATGAGCCTGCAGGTGAAGATGCACTTCATTGACAGTTTGAGTGTCAGATCTTCGGCACTCTGTCTCATGGTTTCATTCATCAAGGGGATTTATCTCTACTTTTGGCAGAGAGATATGATGATCATTTAGTCTCCATTTATATAGATCAACTCAGATCTATCAATACATGTCGATCCAGAGAAATATTAATTTTTTTTACTCTTGTTTTCACAGCAGTAACGATATGTTTCAGTGGGGTCTTGGGAGCAGTTAGACTAAACATATGCTTAAGTATGTATTCTCCTTCCAGGTTACAAGGTGTTTAATAGATAAAGTGCTGTTTAAGTGGTCATGCTGCTATTCTCCATTTTTCTGTGCATTTCTGACAGGTCTGTAAACTATGTGTTCAAGAGAGTCCCCTGCCTGATCTTTTGTTTATGATCAACACTCTTTCAAACAGAGTTTGAATCCAGAAAACAGAAAACTAATATGTTCTCTGACAACCCCCAAATAAAAAATAGCAAGAACACATAATTGAAATAATAAAATGTACATTTCATTATTCTGCTACCCTGAGAATGGGGGCAAACTGCCAGTGATAATGGCTATGCACATTTATTTTTTTTCCTTCACAACATGAAGATATTAAAATTCAGACTAGCTGAACTAGATTAGAAACCTGATCTAAGTGTGATATTTAGAAAGTCTAGCACTCTTCCTGATTAGACTCTCAGACTGGATCATCAGTCTCTGGGACTGTGAAATATGGCATTTATAGTAATGTAAGTCCTTATCGTTGTGGTGACAAAAAGCATTTTAAGTGACTCACCACATGTGAGAAAAGAAACAAGACTTTTTTTTTTTTTTTTTACAGCCCAGTGTCATTTGTAGATGGAATGTTTGGTAACCAGCTTGGGTAAGTATAGAGATCAAATATAGGCACTATCCATGTCATAATTGCAAGCATAACTACAGCAACTCCAATGATGTTAATGCCCAAACCAGCTTTCACCTAAAAAAGAGGGAAAAAAAAGCAGAAACTTACATCAAGATACTGAAGAAAATTTTTAAAATGTTTAAAATCCCCTTTAGGGACTTTTGTTTAAAACTCACCATGTCCATAACAGTTAAATGACCATATGAAAATACGATGGCATTGGATGGGTTTGATACAGGAAGCAGGAATGCAAAGGAAGTACACAAGGTAGCGGGTATCAAAATGAAAAGTGGATTCACATGAATGGCTTCAGCCTATTGAAAAATAAGAGAGTACAGCTGTCAAGGGATGCATTGCCAAATTAAATACATAAATACAAACTTCTTATATTACCACAAGTGAACTGTAGATAGAACTGCTAGTCTAAATAGTGAGAAATAACTTTTTTGGTAACTCGTTTTTTGAGATTATATCTGAGAATGCTTCAGAGGAGAAAAGATAGTTCTTTAAATTCATGTCTGATGTTTTCTGATTGTAGTTGAGTCCATAAAATAAGGCTATTGCAAAGGCTGCTCACATTTCACAGGCACGAAAAGCAAAAACACTGCAAGAAAGATGAAGTTGCATTTGTATGCAATTCGTAAGAGGAATTCAGTGAGGGGTTCAATTCTGTTTGATATCTTTATTGGTGATCTGAATAAGGGGATCAAGTGTACCCTCAGTGAAGTTGCAGATGACACTAAGTTGGGTGGGAGTGTTGATCTGCTGGAGGGTAGGAAGGCTCTGCAGAGGGATCTGGACAGGCTGGATCAATGGGCCGAGGCCAATTGTAGGAGGTTCAACAAGGCAACGTGCTGAGTGCTCTGCTTGGGTCACAACAACCCCATGCAGCACTACAGGCTCGAAGCAGAGTGATTGGAAAGTGGCCCAGCTGAAAAGGACCTTGGGATTGACAGTCAGCTGAACATGAGCCAGCAGTGTGCCCAGGTGGCCAAGAAGACCAAAGGGATCCTGGGCTGTATCAGAAATAGTGTGGCCAGCAGGACCAGGGCAGTGATCATCTGCCTGTACTCAGCACTGGTGAGGTCACACCTCGAGTACTGTGTCCAGTTCTGGGTCCCTCACAACAAGTAAGACAGTGAGATGCTGGAGCGAGTCCAGAGAAGGGCAACCAAGCTAGTGAAAGGTCTAACAGGTAAGTCCTATGAAGAGAGGCTGAGGGAGCTAGGGTTGTTTAGTCTGAAGAGAAGGAGGCTCAGAGGAAAATTGACAGACTAGAAGACAATCAGTAAGTTTCGAAGAAGAAGAAGTCAGATGTTTTGATAAAAATGATGAGAAGAAAGGACTGAATTGAGCTAAGGACAGAAGAAATGAGAATTATGTGTAAAGCACATCTATTAGCCCTCTCTTTGCTGACAACCTGCAGTGTTAACCATTTTTGCTGAAGATGCGGTCCTAAAGAAACTCTAAGAGAGCTGTCCTTTTTAAGAGCTTCAGATCTTCACAGATAGTAATAACAGCATTAATTTTCATGTGTTGAACTGTGCTGGATTTTGCTGGGGTAGAGTTAGTTTTCTTCACAGTGGCTAGTATGTTTTAGATTTGTGCTGAACACAGTGTTGATAATATAGAGATGTTTTTTCCTCCTGCTGAGCAGTGCTTACACAGAGCAAAGGCCTCTTCTACTTTTCTTACTGCCACACTGGCAGGGAAGTTGGGGGTGAGTGGGAAATTGCTAGGAGACACAGCTGGGACAGGTGATCCAAACTGACTCAAGGGATATTCCTTATTATATGGCCACATGCTCAGTATATAGAGTGGGGGGAAGAAGGAGGAAGCAGGAGGATGTTTGGAAGGTTGGCATTTGTTTTCCCAAGTAACTGCTATGTGCGATGGGGCCCTGCTCTCCTGGAGATGGCTAAACACCCAGCTGCCCATGGGAAGCAGTGAATTAATTCCTTGTTTTGCTTTGCTTGCCTGTTCAGTTTTTGCTTTCTGAGTTAAACTGTCTTTATCTCAACGCATAACTTTTCTAGCTTTTACCCTTTCAATTCTCTCCCTAATCATGCTGGTCAGGGAGTGAGCAAGCAGCTGCGTGGTACTTGGTTGCTGACTGGATTTAGACCACGACATGAACTTTTATCTAATTTTACTAAATTCTCCACATCCCTTGTAAGAAATACTTTAAACCACCAAGTATCCAATGCACAATGCAGAACAGGAAAATAAACTGCATGAAGTATTTTATGGAGACTTTTAAAAACTGCTTCTTTAAGCAGCTGTATTATTTTATGGATGATAGAGCATATTCTGATTAAAAATAACATTTGTTATACTCACCAAAGGAGATAGTATGGGCAAAAATATTGTAATGGTAGCTGCATTGCTGGCTACTTCCGTTACTGAAGTGACAATAAGACAGGATATCAGGATAACCAACCACAATGGTAATGATCCTATAGGGGTCAATTTACTTGCTACCCACTCAGAAAGTTTTGAAACCTGCATAAGGAATATGGCAATATGATTACGTTTAGCAAGTCATTGTAAGAAAAATTTTAAAAATGGTGTACAAGAGACTTTACTCATCTGCTACTTGCAAAATATTTATGTAAAAGAGAAAAACACTGGAAATATTTTCCATATTCCTACTGCATACTTTTAAGCCCATTTTTCTAATTCAATTGTGCCCTGTAGGAGCCCATGCAAATTATATTCCATTTATTTATATTTGTACCTCTGAGATGGTTAGTAGAGTCTTATCAGAAAATGGTAATATCATATATCAGGCTCCATCACCACAGTCTGGGTCCAAACCTGCTTGATTTACTTGAGTAACCACCATTGTTCACATAAGAGGTACTTCAGTGACATTTGACATTAACCCTAAGGCTTTGGAAACAGTGTGTCTTCACAACTCCTACCGCCATCAGGTTTAAATTACATAAGAAACAGTAGTCATCAGTTGTCTTGGAAGACAAAGGAAGATTCTTTTTCTGTAAACCTGCTTTGTGAACACCTTGAATATTCATCACATTTATCATGTTCAATATTGCTACAGAATAACTTGCTAAAACAAGATAATAACTGAATTCACTGCATGTCTGAGTTGCTCCTGATGTGGGTCATGCTATTTGTTCAGTATCTTCTATAAATTGCATTACCTCACAGCCGTCTGCCAGTGCAAACCCGCCTCCAACGAGAATAGCTATTTCCCAGGGCATGCATGACTGAAATTCCTTCCAAGTAATGAGTGGAGTGTAACCAAAAACAGCTAGAGAAAAAAAAAAACATAACAAAAAACAAATCCCCAAACAACATTTAAAAACATATTGACAAGCTCTTGAAATAATCTCTCTGAGGAAGTACTTGGGAAAAATTCAAAGGCAATCATTATAACATGAAGAAAGCCTCTGATGGAATCAACCTTCACTTCCGGGGACAGATCTTTACTGGGGAAAACTGTCACAGCTTGGAGACATAAGAGCTGTAACGGTTTCCACCAGTGGAACATTGGCCCCTTTCCCCTCCTTCCCTATGTGGAAGATAGATGTGGGATATCAATGAATTTAATTTACTCAATAAGACTGCACTATTCACAGATTGCTGTGCAAAGGCTGTTTCACTTAAGCTCATTTAGGTTATGGTCTTGCATTCCCTATGAACCCCCAGATCTCACTGATTTTATCCTGTATTAAGATTTTAGCATTATTACTTAACAACATTCCTCTAACCAGTGCAATAAGTTCTATTTATAGTAGCATCTTAGGTACCTTATTGTGGTAAAATCTATATCAAAATATACTCAACTGTTTTCGCCATTTGAAGTCCCAGACCATGTTTTTGCTGGAATAATAAAGAACAGGACGCCTATCGCTAAGGCAGCTGTTGAATCCATAATATAGCTTTTATACCTAAGGAGAAGTTAAAAAGAAAAAAACCACATAAATATACATATTCGGGAGGAGAAGAGGAAAAAGACTGAGGAGGAGGATAGAGTAGTAGAGAAGAGCTGCTGTAGACTTGACCAGAACTCTCTATTCCCCATCCTTTGCACCACTTGTTGTGGTGGAAAGAGGCAGAGGTGTAAGGAATGAAGGAGTCAAGCTAAACCTGGAAAAAAGAGGGTGGGTGAAAGGTGTTTTAGTTTTTGGTTTTGTTTCTCACCTTCTAACTCTATTTTTAATTGGTAATTAAATTAATTTCTCCCATATCAAGTCTGTTTTGCCCATGATTGAAACTGATAAGCAGTATCCCTGTCTTTATCTTGACCCACAAGCTTTTTGACCTTATTTTCTCCCCTGTCCTGATGACAAGGAGCAGTGAGAGGGCAACTGGGTGGGCACCTGGCAGACAGTCACAGTCAACTCATCACATCTGTAGAAATATTTTGTGCAGTCCCTCTAAATTCATAAATAAACATCTTGAGTAAGTATGTGTTGTTTTGCCACACAAAAAGGGTGATGGTTTTGTAGCTAAGAAAAGGCAGCATAGCTTAATTTTCATCCTCCTATGGCTGTCATTACTAGGGTCATAGTCACAAGGGTCATATTTGTTTTGGTCACTTCCAGTGCCTGAGAACTGTTTGCACTACTGTTTCTTAAACTAATTCAATATCCTTCTAACTTGTACAGAGTAGCCCTTAAGATCAGGCAAGGTGCAAAGCTGAGCTCTAAGGCCATTTTAACACATCCATCTGAGTCTGTTACAGACTGTTAGAAGGTGACATATTCCAGTCTCTTATTTCAGTCAAGGTGGTCATTAAAAATGAATAAAAACTTTACTGGAGAAAGTTAAAGCAAATGTTTTCTTAACTTTTGTTATTTTTTCAATTTTCTGCAAGTTCTGTAAGATTTTCTGAACCAATATACCAATATATTTGTTCTCTTAGCCTCAGACCATATGCTTTTCTGAATATACAGCTACAGTAGGTCCAATAATAACTTCCCAGTAGATCTTCCCAGCAGCTTACTGTTTTGTACTAAATAAGGGCTTTTCACTGAAAGGAAAAATTTTTCTCCTGATTTTATGCTGCAAATGCATAATCTGATAGATCCCTTTGCTTGGTTAGGTGAAATTCAAAAAAGCTTAATATACATAGTGCACTGACACCAGAACCAGCATAGTTTTAGCTAAAATTGTCACAAAATGAAGCTGCCATAGAAATTGAAGTGATTCTCTAATTTGTGTCTCCTGCTTCCTAGTGTCCGCCTGCATAGAAAATACATTTTGAAAAAACATATTTGCTATGGTTAAAAAGTATATGTTGTTATGTTGTATATATATAGTCAGAGGGTTCTGCCTATATATTACCCTTATCCTAGGACCAGATGTGCTGGGTCTAAAGATCCAAAATCTCCTCCTCTAGGATCCCATCCTGCATTCTCTTAAGACTTGCTAGGACTTTTGAAGGAAGGCAAGGTCTGGATACAGAAACAATTCATGCTGCCACTTTTTTCTAGGCAGGTGCATTTTTATAGAATGTTTGATTTTGTTAAGGGGCCTTGGGAGGTCATCTGGTCCAACCCCTCCCTGCTCTGGCAGAGTCACCCAGAACCAGTTGCCCAGGACTCTGTCCAGAAAGTTTTTTAATACCACCAAAGATGGTGACCCCACAACCTCTCTAGGTTGCTGTTACAAGTAAAAAACATTACATGATGTTCAGGACTCCTGCAAGTTTCAGTGTGTGCCCATTGTCTCTCATCCTGTCAGTGGGTGCAACTCAGAAGACCCTGACTCTTTCCTCTTTGCTCCATACCATGTAGATTTAAACATTGTCAAGGTGAACCTGCAGCCCCCTTCCTTCAGGGGTCATTCCTCCCCATTTTGCATTTACACTTTGCATTTATGCTTGTTGAACTAGGGAGGTGCAATTTTTTGCTCACAAAACTTAGCATTCCTGATGCAAAACACCATTCTCAAAAAACCTGCTTGGGACACACACAACATCCTACCATTAGTCATACTGTTACGAAGATACACACATCATGCCATTCCAAACAGAATGAGACGATATTTTTTCAAAGTACATTTATCCAAGTAGTAATACAATTGCACATACAGGATCTACCTGTTTATAAACTGCAAATCTGATTGTGGTATAAGAAAGCAAAAAACTTGTTGATTCAGGAGATCTCACATGACTGCAGCTGAAATAATTGTAGAGAACAGGGCTGTCGGCAAAAATACATAGTGGTCTTGTATTAGAATCAAAGAAATCGATAAACCATGCAAAAAAAAGCATGAGTACATTCAAGCAATAATCTAAGGAAGAAGGAGGGAAGCCCACCTTGCAGAGATCAGCTGTAACCAGCTGCAGCCCAGTGTTGAACTTACTGTTTCTTATAAGGTTCCTGTAGTCCTGGCCAAAGGCCACCCTGGAACTCCTCTAATTGAAGCTAATACTCTACAGCCTGGAATCAGGCCAGGACATAGAAGGAAATTGCTGTAGCAGAAATTATGTGTGATCCTATGCTGTCAACAGAGGGGAGGAAACAAGCATTTTTAGCCTGTGCTGCTCTCTGTAGTGTTATACAATATTTATTAAAACATCTTGCTGTTTTCTCCCAGAGGGAGGTAACGGGCACAGGATAGGACAGCAAAGGATTGATTAGTCTTTAATAGATTTACAAATTTTTCTCATAAATGTAATTTATTTTTGAAAGACATCTGATAAAGCTGTTAAAATGAGCTCTACTCAGCACTGATACAGCACAAATATGGATTAAAAATTGGCTGACATTACAAAAATTAGCTTAAAAAGTGGGAAGGTATCATGATTAAATATGAGCATTCTGCTGGGATTTCAAAAATATCAGTGTTTGCACAATAAAGAGCTTTGAGTAACTTGTGAGGATGCACACAATGGGCTGAGAACATGAACATGGATGGTGAGAGTGATAGGAATGTCTTTTCTGAAGCAAAACAAACTTTGAATATTTGATTTAGTTTGTCAAAGCAAGCTTATAAAGAGATATGATTACCTTATACATATATTTTTAAAGCAGCAATCACAGAAAAGTTTTTAATCCAACAAGAACATGTAGCTGGAAGTTATATTCAGACGGAAAGCAAGATGTGAGTTTGACAACAGACATGACTACCCACCAGGATAGACTATCAAGGAAAGGAGTAAATTCCAAAATCCAAGGAACCTGGGCTTTGCCACCCTGACATCAAGACTGGTTTCTTTCTGGAAATTCATATTCTAATAAAATGAATATCTACTGAGCTTAACACAGAGAACAATGTAGCTCTCCTGACCTTCAACATATTAGAATAAAGGATCAGACAGACATTTCTGGTATAAGAGCCTGAGAGTGGTATGATTCCCAGCTAATAGGACTCACTCACTGTTGTGGGATGGTCTCATACTTATAGCTCTGATATTGTGGCTTTTCATGAGGTCAAAGCTTTTTTCAGATGACAGAACTCCCTGAGGCCTGCTCAAGACTGCAGGATATGATCCTGTGGAAAGCAAGTACTATCAGATTTCTGTAAGGGTGGAGACAATTTCCTTATACTTGTTTCCTGTGCCATAAACTTTAGGAAGTTCTGCACGTGCCTACCTGTACACTTAAATCCAGAACACTGAACAATTTTGTGTGCGCGTACCTTCAGGAGCGAGTGTGTGAGAGACATGAGCTACAGCTCATTGCACTGCTGGAAGCCCACACATGTCGCATCACAGTGACAGAAACATAGTTCCTGGGGTTTGAGTTCTTTTTCCTGTTTCTTTATTGTGTTTGTTTTGGGTTTTTTTTTAAGAAGATGGCTTGCTCCCAGTTATACCTGTGCTGGACCCTTGCCCCACTCATGTATCTTGGCTGAGTTTTTGTTGCTCAGAAAGTATAAACCTAATTGCCTGAGTTTATGCCAGTTAATGTAATTGAGTGATAAAGGAGAGCTATCTGGAAATAGACAAGTTCTGAATAGTTAGAAATGCTTTCTTTCCTCCTGAAGGGTGTAACAGAAACTTGATTTCTCTTCAGGGTACCTCATCCAAGTTATAACATGATTCAGCCTAACATGACATGACATGTGATTCCATTCCCTTCCAAGGAAAACTTTAGAGGGCATCCACAAAGTAATGTCCCTGTGAAGAACCTGTAACCATGCTTATTCTGAGAATGTTCTGTATTTCCCTGCCAGTGAAAAAAAATCCTCAGACAATGGTAGCTAGGTTCAAATATGAATATGTGGATCTCTGGACTGAAAAAAATAATTTGAGCCATAAGTCCCATATTTGAAAGGTTGTTTACCATGCCTGTTTTTCAGTATCAGATGTAGCTCTTTAAACAGTGCTCAATGAGCACTGAATTTTAATATGAAGCAGGAAGAGAAGCCAAGCCAGCCTGATTGCTTAGCTAGCTGATTGATTGCTTGATTAGGTCAACACTCCAAAACCCCTTCAAGAATACATTGTTTCATAGGAGACAATGATCATTAGCTCTGCTGTTGTTATGGGGGGGTAGTAAATGTTCTTTTGCAATTTTTTTGATAATTAAAAGTAAATAATTTTAAAACAATCTTAGTTTTTAATACACTTTATAATGACAATTTTTGCAGAAAATAATTTTGCTTCTTGCTTTAAATGTTCGAAGTGCTACAATTATTCCTGGTAACATCCACTTTCTGGAAGAGCCCTGGGGAAGGTGTGTAAGTGCATGAATGATGAAAATATATTTAAAGAGAGAAAGCATGATGGATACAGGTTCAATTTCATTTATGACAAATGCCCAAGAAAACAAAATTGGAAATTACATCCTAGTCCAGCACTGGCCTTTGGGCCATCCAATAATAAATGTTAAATCCATAAGGACCTAGACAGCACTAAGTCCTGCTCATCCCAATCCTGCAACTACTTCCCACCACTCTAGAGCAAAACTCAGACCTTTATCGCAGAAAAAGAGAACTGAAATTACAGGAAGTACAGAAAGAGAAAAGGAGATATCACAGTAAAGTTCCTGCAAGACTGACTGATTACTTAGGAAAAAAAAATTCAGGTGATCCTGGGGAACCTGAAACAAAAAGCAAAACAATGTAATAGTTCTTCGCTTTTTTGTCATTAGTTGAACTGTGATGTTGAGGGAGTTATGTATGAACAGAAAGTAATTTATAGCATTAATTTGAGCTGCCAAAGCAGGGGATGTTGGCCTGTATGCATACTAGTGTGGCTGTCACTAAGTGCAGGAGATCAAAAAATTCTAATCAAAGATTCATTATTGAAATTTCATGTTTGATGAGGAAGTGGGATACTGTGACATTAATCATTATGCGTTCTTCCTCACCAGATCAAGTCTAAAACCTAGGCATAATCCTCATTAGGAGGCACTTACCATAGAGTCATAGAATCAGCGGGGTTGGAAGGGACCTCTGAGATCATCAAGTCCAACCTTTGATCCAACACTGCCGTGGTTACCAGACCATGGCACCAAGTGCCACATCCAGTCTCATCTTAAAAACCTCCAGGGATGGAGAATCCACCACTTCCCTGGGCAGCCCATTCCAATACCTGACCACCGTCTCCATAAGGAATTTCCTCCTAATATCCAACCGAAACCTTCCCTGGCAGAGCTTAAGACCATGCCCTCTTGTTTTACTGATAGCTGCCTGGGAGAAGAGACCGACGCCCACCTGGCTACAACCTCCTTTCAGGTAGTTGTAGAGAGTGATGAGGTCTCCCCCGAGCCTCCTCCCCTCCAGGATAAACAATCCCAGCTCCCTCAGCCTCTCCTCATAGGACTTGTGCTCTAGTCTCTTGATTTTATCCTGTAATGGGTTTAACACATTTCAGCTATTGCACACGTGCATATGTGAAATCTCTGGAGTTTATCTATACTGTATACACTACAAAGATTTGCATCAACCTGGAATATTTCTGAAATATTGAAAATATTTTCATTTTTTAAAACTGAAAAGAAAAGAAGGTATGTAGTTAAGACACAGTACAGTTCTTGCTGCTGTATCAAAAGAGACAACTTACTCAGGGAAAAGTGAAGACCACCCTGGGATGAAGCCAGGATCTCTGGTGAACCACAGAATGGTCATTAGAATGAATAGGACAAGTGTAACAGTTTCTGGGTAGCTACAACAGAAACAGAATGAGTTATCAATTTTCTTAAATTCACACTTGTATTTAATTGCTCTTGTTTGCAGATTTATAGTTTGAGATACCTCATTGGTCCAAGTTTCTTATACTCCTCCTGAATCACCCGTGATGAGGCCTCTTCTCTAGCTGTTTTCTTCTTGCTGCACTTGAACATGTTTTTAAAACTGGAATGTAAAGCAGCAGTATTGCTGAGTGTATATTAGTGTATACAGAAGAAAAACAAAAAGTCTAACTTTTCTAATATCAGTTACCAATAGCACTTTACAAAAGGAAAAATGTCACTTTACAGTACAGTATCTCCAATTCAATTATCACAAACTGAGCATATTGGAATTAACTGAAAAATTCCAGTGGGAGACTGACAGAGGCTGCAACAAAATGTGTCCTATTCTTGACTAGTTCATTTGCCCAGGAAGCATGAAACTTTTATCATGGAAACTAATTGAAACAATCAAATATATAACCTAGCTATTTAATGAAATTCATCTATGACTTTGCTTTACTTTGTTTTAGAATGAAAAAGTTTGTATCACATGAGTAGCCTGCAGAGTATTTGCTACAAGCTAGGTTTTCATTCTTGGCTAAGACTCTTACACAGTGTTAAAAAGAGCACTACAAATCAAGAAAAATTACCATTAAGAAAAAGAAAACAATATATGTTCGCATATAAAGTGGTAAGCATGCGATGACTCTATCTGCTTTAAAATAGTCTCACTTTTCATCTCTCGCACTGTAAGTAGCCATGTAATTGTGGAAGATTGCTGTCCCACTTATCTCTCCAGATGTTAGTGAACTTATGGAGAGCAAGGCTTTGAAGAATCAGCCCAAAAGAAGTATGTCCTCTCCAAAACCATAAAAGCCCAAGCTCTGTGGAAAGACAAAACCCCTACCATACCACCACACATGAACTTAGAAGAAGCAGAAGTTTTTTACTTCAGATTTACAAATATAGTTAGTTTATAACTCAGATATTGTTAAAGTATTAAAACCAATCCCTGACTCCACGAAAGAGCATACTCCTGACTGTGAATCTTCCAGTCAGACCAAAATGTGTAAGATTTCAGTATTCGTCTGTCTTGCAAGCATGCATTATTTAATGATAACTCATTTTTGATATGGACTTTTTACGCTGAGCTAAATAGTCAAGGATCCCTATTTTGGAAAATTCTTGTTCCATCCAGAGATTAAGTCATACTAATCAAGGACAGAAAATCACTGTTGCTGCATTTTCTTCCTATTGAACCTGTTAAACCTAGATGCAGTATTTACTCCTGGTGCAAATTATCTTTTATACCAGTTACCTTTAGTTCTATTGATTATACCATTTACTTACTCAAACCCAAGGAAAAGCCACTGGAGCCAGACCCAGGACAGCAGCAGAATAATAACTCCAATGGGGAAGGAAAGGATAAACCAGGATCCAAAATTGATGCACTGGCAACCTGGGTAACGTCTGGATGAAAGTAAAAAACATGTTCAGTTGAGCTTTGCAAAGGAATGAAGACTTGTGAGAAGTGCCAGAATGTACTGCTGCAAGACAGTGCTTCTGGCTGGCAGCATGAGGTGTCCTCTGGTATCCTCTTCCTCACCCTCCCATCCTTATCTTCATGACCACTACAGGAACTAGTTGTGCCAGTTATTCGATCACTGGATCAGCAACAGATCTGGCGATCTGACATGGACTGAGATGTGTCTAACCTGAGTTCAGTAGGCAAGGGGGGGGGCACTCGTTAATTAGCATTAAGGACCATTAGGACTACAAGGAAACAGAAGTTGAAAGAAAACAGTTCTATGAGATGAGACTTTAGCACAAGAAAATAAATGAAAAAGCTTCCAATGAACATAGAAGACAACAGTGGAGATTTGTATTTTTAAAACTTCCGTAAGCAATTCAAAACTGATTAAAATCAAAATTACTATTACTAATTTCCAGGAATGTTCATTTGCTAGGTGGATTGTCTCTCCAGTCACCTTGTCTCTCTGAGGCTGTCTTAACTTACTGTTACAGATGTGGGCCATTCAGCCAGAGCTCTCCCTGCCATGTGATTTTATAAAAAAAGGAGAAAAGGGCTCTGGTTTTCTGAAAGAAATTATTTTGCTCTTGAATGTGAAAGATGCTAGAGAATCAAAAGAGCAGCGTAATGAAAGCCTGTTTTACAATTTAAATTATTTTGCTCTTGAATGTGAAAGATGCCAGAGAGTCAAAAGGGCAGCGTAATGAAAGCCTGGTTTACAATTTACTTTGTGAATAGAAATTACTCTTCCCTTGAGCTCCTTCAACTCTACTGAGTGAGCTTTTAATTCTAAAGTGAGAAAATTCTAGTCTCTTTAAACAGCTTCCTCCTTGATGCAAAAAAATCAGGTAGAGTGGAAATAAAAATGTCCAGAGAGAGTCTCTAATGACTATTTCTGATTATTAGCCAATCTTTTGTATTTCATGTCTTGCTAGAAGGAAAATAATTCTGATGGTTACATAGGTTTTTGAAGCTGTAAATGCTTATCATAAATGCTCTCTCAAGCACATTTTAGGTTTGATCTGTACTTACTATGATGCTTAGATATATTGCAAATAAAGTGCTAACAGGGACAAAACCAAAAGTCCTATCGTCATTTTGAGGTGATGCTCTAAATTGCAACTGTACATAATGATGAGACAATGAAACTAGAACAATTAAAAGCATTGTGCTGTTACATTATTTATTGATTACAGGGCTATGTACCTTTTATTACATGATTAGCCATATCAATTTTTGAATTTAAAAATTGCAAGATAGGAAAAATCTGACATAACTGTAACAATTTAGCATTCCATCATTTGCTAAAGTGTTTATGGTCTTTCCTGAAACACGTGTGATAATTTTTTATTGAGCAATAAAACAAGCTCTTAAAAACTTTATGCTAAAAATTCAATTCCATCATAATATGTTAATTTATTGTGTTTATATTCTACAGTAGGTTTGTACAGGGCTGAATATTTGTGTATTTCTGCTAATCTGAATATTGCATTTAGGTATTCTTCAACTCCTGACCAAATATTCCTCAGGTAAACAGAACAATCAGTTTAAATGATTTTTCAAAAGGATCTATTACATAATACTGGTTGGATTACCTGCTGTTGGATTATCTACTACAGGTCTTGACTGAGGCAAGGATGGACAGGACACACTGAACTATTTATTTTCTAGACCTATTCCCTCTGGAAAATGAAAACACTACAAATGCAATCAATAACTGGTCTTTAACATTTTGCTATGTGCAATACAGAATAGTGGGCAGAGGGTAACCAAAGGATAGTACTTTATTTTACTCCATTCAAAATTAGAGTATGCATACTTCTGGAAATAAATAGTTTGCAGAAAAAAAAAGTTCAGCAAGAACTATTGGTTTACCAAGAGCTTTGGAATTAAATCTGCCATTTTCTTTTCAAAGCAGTTCTACTTAAATATGAGAAGGAATATTAAAAAATGCTTTGGAAAACCTTAAAACAAGGTGTTCCACTGAATGCAGGTTTCAGACTGGCTTGAAATTATTTTCTTTTTCATTTATTAATGGACCTAAATTCCTCATATCAACAATGCTTAGCCTCTTGTAAGTCTCTCCTGATGGTCTTTGCTAAGCAGACCCAGATTTAACCCCTGTTTCACTTAGAAATTAATAACAGCTCTTTACAACCTAATAGTGCCTATCTTATTCATACCAAGTAGCGCCTTCCTTCTCAGACAAGCCTATCTTTTTCCATGCAGCTACTCAAATAGTAAAGTACTACTTAACCAAAGAATGATCGTCTTCTTGCATGTGTTGGCAGATCATTTATAGCTTTTCTCTGTGTAAAGCAAATACAACCATGCAGTTTCATTTTCTGTCTTTAACAAATAATTTAAAAAAGCAATAGAATCGAGTAATATCAAATCAAAGGGTAAAGTTTCTAATGCATTTTAGGGGAACCATGTGAGAGCTCAAGAATAATGTTAGAAGTCTGGATTAAAATGAATATAAATAATATAGTCTCTTACGAATTGAAGTGCTCAGTAAAAATCAGATTAGTCGATGTTCCTGCGATTGTGGTCAGCCCTCCAATGGTAGCAGAATAAGCAATACATAAGCACATCACTTTGAGAATCCCACTGTATTTGTCCTTTCTGCCTTTTCTCTCTGCTTCAGCAGGTGGTAGGTTCTGCTTAGAAAGTATATACACCAATTAATATATTTGAAGGGCTTATCAGGAGGCACAAAAATAGGATTCAAGGATGCCTTAGAAGAGCAAGACAATTTGCTGGTAATACAGTTGTAAGCAGTGTGGTTTGGTTTGTTGTTATAGTGGTACTGCAATTATTCATGCAAAGGAAAAGGAGGAAGAGTCAAATTCTGAAGTCCTTTTCCTGATCTGTCTTTACTGAGACAAGAACTTCCTTTATATATACTGATATATATATACACACTGTAGATATCAACTTTGTACTCTGGTGAGGTTGGTTTAACTTGTGTTAAATACACTGGGAGCACAAAACCACTAATGACATGATTATGTAAGCAAACTGTGTGTATATATGCAACTACACATATATCTCTTATTCACGTGAAACTAGATTCATTGCTACCTGTGCCATGTTAGGTGTTACATAGAAGTGAGATTTAGGTTAAAACTAAGTTACACTATGTAATAAAAAGACACCTTAAGTACCTGTTCATTTCCTTTTTCGTTTTCATTTTCAACTGTGCATACAGTACTAGCCACACTGTTGTTATATCTGGAAAACAAAGGCATGTATTGTAATAAACAGATATTCTATTTAGAAGAATTCTTAGAGCAGAATTTAGTAAATTAATAACAGTTACCCATTAATTTGCTTTTCTTTCCACTCAGTGTTTTCATATTCTCCTATGTGTTCTGTAAGACAGTGATGCAAAGACAAATAAGCATTTAAAGGAGCAAAACTGGAAAGGCTCCATCAGCATGTCCCATTCCATGCAATCACTTCACATTGTCCCATGAATACATTTGTAAGTGCCGGTCTGAGAAACAGTTGAGTTGTTCCCTATTCCTTCGTGACTCCTATTCCCAGAATCTGAATCCTTTAAGGAGGAGAAATCTTTCTAACTTATAATCGAACCATGTAGGAAACCAGTTTAGATTCATTTGTTCTCCTGCATTACCCTAGACATTAAAGAGCTCTTCTCTTGTGCTAACATTTAATGCTCAGTGTATCTATAGCCTGCAGTCATATTTCAGACATTCTACTAGACTGATAAGCCAGCCTCTCCCCTTCTTTCCTCCTCTCATGAAACTGCCATCTTCTGCACCTGTTTTAATCAATCTTTGTGAACATGAGAGAGCTCACACATGGTATTCCAAGAGAAGTGTCACAATGAAGTGTGTAATGACAGTAGTACTTCTCCAGCCATTTAACTGTATTTCATGTGTTTTTTACTGCTGAGTGAGGGCAGGCAAGGACCGAAGGTGCAGCGCGTGCCTACCGTCCAGCTCCAGTGCTGGGTTGATGGAGCCATTAGAGCAAGACATCTCCAGTGCATCAGCTTCTGCTTCGGCTCTGATGATCTGCTGAGCTACAGCCTCTACAATTGGCATCACCATGGCAGCAGCAGAGGTGTTGCTGAGCCACATCGACAAGAAAGCACAGCTAACCATGAAACCCAGCATAAGCCTGGAATAGGAGAGACGAGTCTGTGACTGCTACAGTAACATCTCCTATCACCAGTCTATTTAATATATTTCTGTTTTTCAACAGAAAGCTCGAAACACTAAAAATTTAAAGTCTGTAATTGATTTTTGAGGAAGTTTATGAATTAAAATTGATCAAAGACACTGAAATTACCATATTTTAGTGTTAAAGGTTCAAATATGTTGTCAATTGAAATAGAAGCAATAATGTTTATTTACAGAATTATACTATATTTGAGCCATCTTTGAAGAAAGAACACCATACACGTCATGAATTCAAATGAGAGTTAAAATGGCTATACTGCCAATGCTATTAATCTTGCATTATAGAATCCAGGTCAAACCCCTGGAGTTATCTCTTAGGCTGTAAGTCGTCTAGATACCAGTCCAGTTGTTATGGGAAGAAATATTAACAATTCAGTAAATGGTTTTTAGTTCTTAATCAGAACACCAAGCCAGGGATTATTGGGGCTTCAATAAACATCTTCTTTGATATTAAAAGGGAAAGGGAAGGTCATTAGAATGCCTTAGTCTGGTCTTGGCACAAGTTTTTCTAATTTACTACAAATATGAATTGCATCTGTGGAATTCCTGATTGCACTGATGCAATACACTGAATTGTATCAATGACTGAAAAATCAAACATTCCATGTTGTATCTGGTGAAGCTGGACTGTAAATTTAAAATACAGGCCGAAAAGTAATTTTACTGCCTTTCTTGGAGTTGTGAATGCGAACAGTCCTCTTGACTTCCTGTTCCAAGGTGCTGTCATTGCCATTAAACACTTGCCATGCATCACCACAGTGAGAGACCAACTGAGTAGAGGGATGGTGGTGGTGCAGCATTTTCTCAGAAGTCATCTGTGCAATTTGTAAAGCTCTTTGCCCAGCCTTGATCAAGAGCTCCACAAAGAAATGGAAGGTCTACTTAGCACATGAAGCCAATATAAAAATTATATAAAAATCGTGTAAACATTATTTTATTATGTAAAAATACTATTCAAAATGTCTCTCATAGCCTTTCTTTTCAGACATTAGCAGCAACATTTCAAACTTGATTTTTTCTCAGCAGGGGCACCTTGTTTTTTCTCTGTGCGCTTTTAATTGCATAATGATAAAATGATCTGTAGACTTGCAAGATGTGGACCGGATTTAACAGAAATTGTCATCAATAAACCCCACTAATTTAGGCAGTTTTCAGTTAGGTCATCAGACAGAGGCTGTAGAAGAATTGTGGTTTTAGGACAAATTCTTATGCAGAAAGATAAGATAAGCACACTGAATATGAATTTTCAAGCTGTAGAAAAGTGCCATTTTAGTAGAACTTGCAGGGGAGGTTAAAAATCAAAGCAAATTAAGGAATTCACTAACATGTTTCAAAACTGTTCATCATAAATTTCCAGCATTTGATGGATTGATGATCATGTGACCATTTTGTACAATGTAGTGGGCTCTAATGAGGAACTCTGAAAGTGATGACAAAATAGTAAAATATATTCTATCCTGTTCAGCCTCTGCATTCAGTTTTTCTGCATTATTTTCCCAGTGGTATCGTTAAAAAAATATTTTGCATGGAACCTTGGATGATAATTTCATTTACATTTAACTATAAAGTCACTCTTGGCTATGTAGTACACAATTAATATTTTATTACCCATTCTAGTCCTTGCAGGCTGCATAGACACATTCACCTTTCTCTGCTAGTTGCAGACCAGACTGCATGGTGCAAATGACAGGAGGTCTTTACAGACTCATAGAATCATTTAGGTTGTAATAGACCCTTAAGACCATAAAGTCCAGCCCTAAACCTAACACTGCCAAGTCCATCACTAAACTATGTTCTTAAGTGCCACATCTACACCTCTTTTAATTGTCCCCAGAGATGATGACTCAATCACTTCCCGGGGCATCCTATTCCAATGCCTGACCAACCTTTCACAGAAGAAATTTTTCCTGACCAACCTTTCACAGAAGAAATTTTTCCTGTTATCAGATCTAAACCTCCCATGGTCCAACTTGAGGCCATGTCTTCTCGTCCTATCACTTTTTACCTGGGAGAAGAAATTGACCCCCACCTGGTTACAACCTCCTTTCAGGTACTTGTAGAGAGTCCCCCCTGAGCCGCTCTTCTCCTGGTTAAACAACCCCAGCTCCCTCAGCTGCTCCTCATAAGACTTGTGCTTCAGCCCCTTCACCAGCTTTGTTGTCCTCTGGACATGCTCCAACATCCCAATGTCTGTCTTGCAGTGAGGGGCCCAAAACTGAACACGGGATTTGAGGTTTGGCCTCACCAGTGCCGAGTACAGGGGGACAATCACTGCCCTGGTCCTGCTGGCCACGCTATGTCTGATATATATTTGTTTCTCCAGAACAATGCATAATGAAAAATCCAGAAGTCTCCTGCTATTCTACTTTCACTGCTGCACCCCCTCATGACCTCTAATGCAGAAACCTCCTCCAGTGGTATCTCTGCCTTGAGCAGGATGAGTCTCCAATGTACACAGGCTGGCTGGGGACTGCTGCGAGCAGAGAACAGCACCACCACTGCCATGGGCACCACTAATGAGCAGCAGATGCTGAGAGATGGGTAGATCCTCTCCTTCACCAATCGTCTTATCATAATCTTATTATCCCTTTGTCATGATCAGGAAATATGATGAGCTAGTTATGAAGGATACTGCTTCCTCAGGGTTACAACGCTGTCTGTGGAGTTTCACAGCATATTCTGAGTTGGAAGGGACCCACAAGGATCATCAAGTCCAACTCAAGTGAATGACCCATACAGGGATCAAACCCATGGCCGTGGCATTATTAGCACCATCCTCTAACCGACTGAGCTAATCTCAGGAGTTACTCTAGGTCTCCTCAGCAGCTGGCTGCAGGTTGGATTGCCCACAGCAAGTTCCCCAGCAATGTTCAGCTTAGTATGGCACACCATCCACTTGTGTTCTCCCTTTCAAGATTTTGGCCAAAAGGTGAGAAGTGAGCTTTAGGAGTGATCAACCAAATATAAGTTGAAACAACTAAATCTACATAGCTCAAGAATACAGCCAAAGATAAAGGAAAGCAGTAGAAGAAGATTGTAAGGAGCATTTTGTCAAAACAGAAAGCTACCAGCTATCAAAACATGCAGAACCTAAGCAAAATAACTGTGATATTTATAATTAGGTCAGACAAATCACTGAGGAATGGAAATAATCCAGCATTTCCATGAGGTGCTATTAGTTAGACCATCTCATTTTTTAGACCTGGGGTTTCTGATTTTCTGACCTTTTGCTTCCTGTCAGTCTGTTTCCTGGCAAGGAGTCATGAATATGATATATTCTGGGAAGCCAAACTTGCTCTACAAATCTTATCTGCAGCCTTACTGGTGTGCTGACAGGTGCATCTCTGGGCCTAAACCTTTTCTGCAAGTTTGTAAAGCAAGCAAAGAGTTTTCACTTCATAAGATATATGATGATAGTGAGTAAGCAGAGAGTGTGATTTCATTTCCCTCATCACCTCATCCATCTGGGGAAGTTCTTCTCTTTTGATAGTTTTTTCATATGTAGACAAAGGAAAAAAACATAAGTAAAGACATTGTGCTTAATGTGTTTTTCCTTCCCCACCACGTGTTTAGTTTTATGATTTTTTTTTAGCTCACTGTGCATTTGAGGTCTTCTTGTATTTTTGGGAATGTCCAGAATATTGAAAACACTATTGAAATAAAAATTAATAATCAGCATAAAACAGATTTTATATTGAAGACATTGGGTATGAATGTTCCAAACACCATCAAGAAACAGGACCCCTATATTATTCACAAATTAACCATTCTTTTTGTCCAGAAGGATCCTTATTATGAACAGAATCACTGAAAGGGAACTTTCAATTAGGACCTCAGCAAAATAATAAAGTGTCACCTGGAAATCAATCATATCAAGTCAAATATCTACTTTGAATAGAAAAGAAAGGCTGGATTTCTACTACTGAAAAAGCACTAGGCAATTATTTCTGGAATACGTAGATTTCCACAAGTATTATTTCCTTCAAGACATTGTTTAGCACATACCATGCAGGCTTGACACCCACCAGCATCACCATTCTTAAAGCCACTCTTTTGTGCAAATTCCATTTTTCTATTGACGTTGCCAAGCAAATTACTCCAATCAGCAGCAGATGAAAGTCTTTAAAATAAGAAGATGCCACCTGAAATAAGAAAAGAAAAAAAAAAAAAAATCCAACCAACCAATAAAAAAACCCCAAACCAACCTTTTTTTTTTAATTAAATGATGAATTTCTGATAGTATTTGGTATTAGCAATTTAATGGAAAAAATACAGTAATATTATATACTGAAATAAATATCAGGAAAAATTTTCGGCTTAAAATTAAACTGTTAAGTTCATTGGAACTGTTAATTTCATTTAACCACATGTTACAAGAGTAAATGCACAAAAGTGCATATTGTTAAAACAAAATAAAAAATAGGGATTATGATAGAACAACCTAAAATTATCAGTCACATCTCACATATGGACTAAATCACCAATGAAATGTTGCTTTTATTACTTTTGTCATCTGTTCAACAAATACAATAACAACTTTAAACATAGAGTATGGTGTCATCACTTTGACAAGAAGATGTATTTTGCTCATGGGGTCGCACTCAGCATTTTGTATGAGGTCATTAGTATGACACCTCACGTCTGTAACATTAATATATTTTATATCTAACTAGCATTTTCCTATTGACTGGCATCTAAGCACTGAATCATAATATAGAAAAAAGTGTTAAAGAAATACAAACAAGTCCTGAGGACAAAGCATGTAAGCAAATTTTGAGGCAGAACTACTGTGGTTGGCACTCCATGGATTAGCCTGACAGGTTTCAACATTATGCATTTCTTTCTTTGAGGTTTTGATCCTTGATATCCACAATATAAAAGAGAGAAAAAAAATATTTACCTGCTTGGATTCCATTATACCAAACAATGGGAACATAAAGGCAGGGAGCAAAGCTGAAACAGCCAGTGGCAAAGCTTCTGTAAGCCAAAAGATGGCAACCACAAACAACGTGTATGCACATTCTGCTTCCTAGAATACAAAAGGCACCAACAAAAATATGAGTTGATCATCCAGTGGAAAAAATCACAGCTATGTCAATAGAGAGATTCCCCACACCCAGAAAAAGTATGAGTCAAGGGACCTGATTTTTCTAAGGGATAGTAAAATTATTTAAATTCTACGACTTAGGAAAGGTAGGGAAAAAGTCAGCTGCCTAAGCCTTCAAGGACAATTAATCACATAGGTCATTCTGGAGCATTCTCAGGCCATGAATTACCATAAATCACAAACATTCTCTATATGCAAGCAAGCTTTTAAGCCTCTAGGAGAACTCACAGTCAAATTTTGTCTCTCCTGTAATCAATGAAGTTTTTTCATCAATATCAATAAGGCAAGGATATGATCTAATGTAAAAAAGCTTTGTGCAAGACTAACAAGAAACACAGCTGTTGTTTTTAAGACTTGTAATTTTAATGACTGTCTTTTATTTAAACTCCTGAAAAACAAGAGTTTTTTCTTTTTTTTTTTTTTTTTTTTGCCAGGAGAATCTTTTTCAATGCTGCCTGTAAAATGCAGCTACAGCCAAATATAATGAGGTGAAGTGAGTCTAGTTTCTTCTAAAATCCTAGAAACTTCTTTTGTGTGTTTTTGATTTATATTTACGCTTTTAAGGAAAATGGCTTGGAACTTTTAGTGCCACTGGTTAGGGTATGAAACTGCCCAACAGCAGCACAGATGATTTGTACTGGGAAAGGGAAAGCTGAATGATGTGGCTCTTGGAACCCTTCACTGGTAAAATAACAATGTTAAATCTAAGTCAGTCAGCTATGGCTATCATTTATTTTTGGAAAGAAGTTTTCGTTATGTATTAAACAATTTGAAAATGTCAAAATTCATCTAGTGAATGTTCATCTCACTTAAGTCCTACCACATAAAGAATTTCCTGTGAGTTTCTTCCTGAAAAGGAAACTGAAATATTGAAACTGTGATGAGTGTGAAGCATGTTGCTCTGTAACCACTATCTGTGACACAAGCATTTCTGAAATTAACTTTCATGTATTGTCACACGTGATATGTATAATGCACGTGATAACACATCACAGGAGAATTCCATTTCATTCTACTGACATCAGAGCTATACCGAATAGAATCATTAACAACATCTTTAGATAGCTGTTTCATCAGCTTGGAGTTGTCACAAGAGTTAGTGAATGCCTGAAGCATTTATTCCAAGTTAAATAAAACTAAGATATCCTGCCACCGACTTTTCTCTATTTAGGAACCAGAGGAAATTTATCAGGTCATTGACTTCAGTCATTTCCTATCAGACAGCACAATATGTGATGAACTTAAAGTCCTTCATGAAACAAAAAAGTAAATGCAGCTCTCTTCCTGACAGTTCATCTTCACTGTCAGTCATACAGAGCTGTTTAAAAGTGTCCAAAAGGTAATAGCAAGGACAGGATTTTCAAAGTAATCTAAATGATGTTAAATGGGAAAAGCATTTCTGAACAAGAAAACAAATACGTGACTCAGAGCTTCATGAATCCAGTACAGAATTTTACACTGAAGCTGTCTTCTCTATAATTCTATGCCAATACACTTTGACCAAAAAAAAAAAAAAAACCATAATGAATTTATTCAAGATCCCTTCCAACAGAAACTATCTATGATTCTATGAATCTGAAAAGACCCGGGAATCTCAGTCTTTACATACAGGTGCAAAATAATTACGTCTCAAAGCAGGTCACTTACTTTGGTTTTGATGATAAGTGGGAGTGGAAGTAAAAGTAGTGGAGTGAGGACAATGAGCAGGAACCTTCGGTAAACCAGGAGGTAGCTAAGAATCTTCATGGTTGATGGTTGGTAGATGAATTTTCCTGCAGAAACTGCCAAAAAACTGGTCTGACTTTAAATAGCTGACTCTGATTAATATTTTTCCAAGCTATCACCTTTAGCCATTGCTAAAGCAGGCCAGTAAAGCAAGTTAAAATTAAATCTTGATCTTTATTGTTTTAGTGAGTTTATTAACAGTAGGTTGATAAGATAAGTGTTCATCATAAACCAAGGCTAGATGTCAGCTCTGGCAGGACTTTCTCTCCCTGCCCTTACTCATAACAAGTTTATATAATTAGAGCAGATTTTAGACAGCTAGAAAACTAAAAGCTTCAGGAGCTCTCCCAGTCACTGTCGACTTCAGTAGGAAGTCAAAGCATATAACATACATAGAATATATATTCAAAACCAATTGTGACATTGCGTGAAATCATATGCAAGATAATTATATTGAAAAGAATTAAAAATTCTTCCTTGTCGTCTCCATCTGTGGAGATATTCAAAACTTGATTGGACAAGATCCTGAGCAATCTGACCTGAACTTTGCTCTGCTTTGAGCAAAAGGTTGGACTAGAGAACTTACAGAAGGCCCTTTTAGCCTCAGTTTCTCTGTTGTTTCTGTCTGTCTAGAATTTAAACTACAGGAAAAAAATTAAGGGGAGGAGGGGGTTTCTGTCTTGCCAGGCAGGGAGTGTATGATAGCTCATTTTCTCTTCTCTTGCAGAAAGAGGATGAGGTTTTTTATGTACATCATATAAAGCTTTGAGGAAGGCTAGGAGTAGAAGAGTTTTTGAGGCAAAACTAAAAAAAATAAAAAACACCTTTTGCTTGAATTTTCCTGTTTTTCAATAAAAGAAAACTTGGTACAGTCTTTGTAATACAACAAACTAGCATCAAATAAAGAACAGGAAAAGACAGGAAAGAGGCTTGTACACCATCTATGGATGAAGATCAAAAGGGGAAAGAACACACTGTTTTGTGCTCAGGATCTTACATGAAGCAGAAAATTGGAAGAGGAGACAGATGAAGAAGTCTTTGAGCTGTCTTCAGGACTATCCAAAGGCCAGGTAATAAAGGTGGATTTTTACTATCCATATAACTTTTTGATTATAAGAATCCATGTGTCAGGGTACAGACAAACCAAACGATCAGATTGCCAGTGTTGGGTACAAATGTCTGGTTTCCGGAAGGTAGGACTTTGGTTATGGGAAAGCAGTATTTCATATCTAACTGTCAGGAAGGAACTGACTGAAAAACCAAAGGTGGGAAATAAACTGGGGATGAGAGTAGTAATGAAATAACAGCCTTTGCTACTGGGCAATTGGGAAAAAAGCTTTGACACAACCTAGGAAGCTGAGACTGAGACCTTCTGAAAAGATAATGTAAGGAATTAAAGATGTTAAGTGAACTGGAAACTTTTGAAATGGACTGTTCTAAATATATAATGACGAAACTTGTTTAAAGAGTACAGGAACAGAGAGCAAAGAGAGACATTATGTGCTTGTATCAGGAAATCTCCAAATATCCAAAAATAAAAAAGAAATTGTATGATATTTGGAAAAAATTGCATGTGCTTGAGGACTGGTATAAAGGAATAACAAAAATTTAGACTAATAAATTCAGGAGGATTTTGATGTGAAATATATTTCAGTTGGAGATGTCAAAGAAAAGTTCTGTTAAAATGTCAGAACTAAGAAGAAAACAGAGGAGAGTAAAGGGATTTAGTAAGCAAAAGAGAAGACAAGCTGCAGACAGTGCTGGAATATGCAACACTTTCTTTGCTTGAGTCTTCACAAAGGTAAATGACAGTCAATTAAATTAATTTTGACATGAAAAAGGGAGTTCACTGTGGGCACAGTGCTGGTGGGAGTAGTGAAAATTTAGATTTAATATATGTATTCAAGTCAACAGTTCCAGATGAAATTCACCCATAATTCATGGGTGATAATTCATACAGAAATCTGAGAAATATTTTAGAATACATTTGAATACATTTTGTTATGCCATATATTTGGAAAACTGTGTAGTACTACAAGTTCCTAGAAAACTGGTCACATAAATGGAAATGAAATATGGCTAATATGTCACACAAACTCAAACTAGTTTTCTCTTTCTATGAGACAACTAACTTAGTGACCAAAGATGTAAATTGCATGCATTTTATTTTACTTTAATAAACTTTTTAGGTGAATTAAGGGTAATTCATAAGGATAGAAATAATGCTCTAGGGGAAATTGTGTCTGTGTGCACAAACGATTTAAAAAAAGTTGTTCTTGAAGAGCAGTTGCAAATGTTTTATATTCATACTTAGAAGACATTTCAAATCTGGTCCTTAAGGGGTCTGTTCTGCTTAATTTTCTAGCCCATATTTTTATTAGTGGTTTGAATCATAAACTAGCAATCAGCAGGACAAAGATTAAAATAATACTTTCTAACCAATACTAGATAAAAGCTGCTTTTTCAGCATTCTCTATAGCAAAATGCTGTGTGGAGATAGGGGTGTACATTTCAGAAAAAAAGAGAAAAGAAGAAAAAACTTCCAGTACTAATTCAAGTAAAATATTGCTGATGGAACAGTAGAAATAGTCCTGCAGAATTACCATTGAAATTCTCAATCTTATCTGCAGGTCCTTGGTCTGAGACCTGCAGTCAGCCACCACCAGAGATGGCCAGGGCAGAACTAGGAATTAAACCAAAGAGGTTTACTTCCAAACTTATGATGAGATGTTTCTGGAGCAATCAGGCTTTTACAGGTAACCTGAGAATGGATCAATACTTAGGTTGTTGATTGATACTTAGGTAGATAATGAATTTGCAGTGGAGTAAGTTTAGTGAAGGAAGGCTGAAGTCTTTCTGAAAGACCATGGAATTTGGCAGAAAACTTTCCTAACAGGCAGGAAGAAGGAACAAGCGAGGGTATACAAAGCTACTTACAAGAACCCTAAACATACAGCTCTGCATGTGAAGAGGAAAGGGGTTCTAATGTGATTTGAGGTATTACTGAATGATTATGAAAAAAATAATAAATTCAGTTTGAAAAATAAGGATGTATTTTCGACAATGGAAAAAAAAATTTAAAAAGAGAGGAAATTTGTAGGGAGAACGAATGTTTCTTGTTATACTACCCACTGTTAGCTGGTCTGGGTCAGTATTGATCCCTTAATCCCTAGCCTTCTTGGAATGCTTAATTTACTTTTGTTATGTCTTGAGTTAACTGTGGACAACTCCTGTGTATTTTCTCAGTAGCTGAATTGAGTTCTGTGGTTCATCTTTTCACATGAATGATTCTTTTATGCTGAAGAAGCTTTGTCTAGATAGCTGTATTAGCAGCTTGACTGAGGACTATTTCATACTTGAAGAAGGGGTTGTGTGCTCAAAACCTCATCATTGTCTGGAAGCAAAAGAGGAAAGAAAAATTCCAAAAGCTGATTTTTCCATAAAACAGATAAAGATCAAAGGCTTGTATGAAAGATCCAGTTATGGGAAATGAAATGGCAAGATGGGCATTATCACACCCCAATAGATATGATCAATAAGACACTAGTCACGTCCCCATTGGTTAGAAAAAAAAAGAGAATCTCAAACTTTCATAGGCATTATGAGATTCTGTAGAATGCATATTCCATGTTACAATCACCTTATGAGTCTTCTCTATTGAGTGATCTATAAGAACTCTTTTGACTGAGACTCTGAGCAACAACAAGCCATTGCATGGATCAAACAGCATATAGTTCATGCAGTAGCCCTTGGGCCAGTCCAGACAGGACCAGATGAGAGAAATATGCTACTGCCAGGAAGCATGACTCAGCTGGAGTCTCTGGCAGAAAACATCTTCAGAAACCCAAGGTCAGCATCAAGGGTGTTGGAGCTACGGATATAGGGCAATTTTCTGAAAGACCTGACAGTTGATGAGTAATGTGGAAAATAACATATGATTTGATTTGCATATAATCAAGAATCATGTGAACCAACAGAGAATGAGCCTTGCAAGAAGATAGGCAAATACAGCAATGACCCAGCCTAAGCCAATAATTAAATAAAATATGTCATCTTTCCTGTCCTCAGCAACCACCATAACACATGAAGCCCAAGTCATGCATTAAAGAACTCAATGGACATTTTATGAACATTTTACAGGGATGATCCATAGACTAAGGGAATGATATCTGTGTATATATATCATGTGACAGGAAGGAGAGGGGTGCTTAGTAAGGTTGTATTGTAAGACTTGATCATGACATACATTATATGGACTGAAAGGTGGAGATTGCACTGGGGTAGATGGATTTTGTTCATAGTAGCATGTATGGTGCTGGTTTGGATCATGTGATGTTTTGGAAATCTGACTAAAACTGTAGATAACACACCTGCGTTTTGGTTATTGCTGGGAAGTCTTGACACAGCATCAAGATATTCCCACTTTGCCCTCCCGGCACGTAGGCTGGGGGTGTTCAAGAAATTAGGAGGGGACACAGCAAAGGCAGTTGACCCAAACTGATCAAACAGGATATTTCCTGCCACATAAAACCATGCTTAGTAATAAAAAAAGAGGGGGAGAGGTATTATAGGACAGCAGACATTGCTCGGACGCTGGCTGGGCATCGATCTATTTGTGGGAGGTGGTCAGTGATTACCTTTGCGTTAATTGTTTTATTTTTTTTTTCCTCTCTTTCCTTTGCTTATTAAATATTTTCAACCCACAGATTTTCTCACTTTGGCTTTTCCTATTCTGTCCCCTGTCCTACTAGAGTCAGAGGTGGCGAAAGAGGTCAACCCACCCCACCTTGTCAATGGCCTTGTAAGTTACATTACCTCTCTACCATCCCATGCAGTTATCTTTTGATTGTCACAGACACAACGGTAGTATTACTGTACAAAGCCAAGAGGAACACTTTAGTTATGCAATACTTCACGGGAATTTCAAAGCATGCAGATTTTAGTACAACGTTCAGCAGGGCAGGATCTGTAGAAATGTGGAGGGGGAAAAAAGTCAATATTTCCTTGTCAAAGGTTGTTCATGTGGGATTAGCAGAATGC